GAGGGCTCTGTATAGTCTTGGAATCGCTTTCTTTTTAAAAATATGAATAGGTACAAAGGTAAGTGCAGCTAAGTAAAATACTACTTACAAATTCTGACCATTCCATGGTTTACTTGGAAAGGAAGGTAGACTGGGGGGAGAAGAGTCACTTCTCGGATGCGCATATCATTGTAAGAGAATCAGATACAGAAAAAGGTTGATGTACAGTATATCTTACTTGTCAAATTTCCCTTCCAAATATGTCCAGGAGCATGATTTGTCCTAACACCACTCACGTTTTGAGGGGAAGGGGAAAGCAGTGAACCAATGCATGCAGATATGCATGCAAAGCCCATTCATATTTGAAATCACCACTAACTGTGCATGTTTCCTAACTGGCATGGGAGGGAAGAGTGAAAGCAGGGGCTCTATGTGGCAGTTTGCAAAGTGGTGAACAGTCAGATGTCTTACTGACTGCTGTAAATAATGATCACTTCCGAGCTGCTTTCTCAAGGGACTGCACAGCCACTGGCTTATCATTTTAACATCACAGGGATCAAGTAGTGCTTTTTAAATATCTGGTGGCACGAAAATGTGTTTCCAGCTATGTTATTTTGTTTTTGCTGAGTCATAGTTTCCCGGTTCCAAACAGAGCAACTTTTGAGGAACTTTCGATTTCTGACTCGGAGATCACTCAGCCATAGTTATTAATGTGTATTAATTTTATGCTGTATTCTAGAACATTGTGTGCTTTCTAATAATGATCAGACACAATCTGATCATTCTTTGCTGTGTGAATGAAAACAAACCTCTAATTAAATTGTCCAATGTTTAAGCATTAAACCTGGCCTAAAAATAATGCCTACAACAGCATAGGGTAACACCCACTTTTGTTTGCTTGGGGTTTTGTGCAAGAGCTGAAGCTTAGTCATGACAGCCAGTATTTTGTTCAAGATTTATACCTGCCGCCATCCATGGCAGCACAACCAGGTCCTGCAGTCAGCCATGTGGCCAGCTTTTCCTCAGGTTGCCATGGCAGTTTCTGCAGCTGGAGCACCTCATGCATAAATGCTGACCAGGATGCTGGCCTTTATATTATGAATGTTGATCTTTTGGTCCTGTATTTGTAATAAAATTGACATAAACCACTTTGCAAATTCCAATTGAATATGGAGTATACATTTTAATAAACAACCCAGAGGCTGTGCCAGATGTTCAGGCTCAAGCTCTTTGTGTCACTAGCCTAAGAGAAGTTTAGTCTGTTTTATTCAGATTTCT